TGCTATGTGAGAGGAAGTTGGTGCGTGAAGCAGAAGATGTGATAGAAGGAATTATCAAGTCTGGCACTAGCATCCATGAACAGTTCATACCAGTTGTCATGAAGATGTATATTGATCAGGGATTGCTTGATAAGGCAAATGCATTCTTTGAAATGCATTGCAGAGGCAAGGAGGTCTCATCCAAGAATTTTGCTGCCATCATGGATGCGTATGCAGATAGGTATCTTTGGGAAGAAGCCGAGCATATTTTCCACTGTGATAGAGGGATTGGGGGCAAGAGGGAGATAGTGGAATATAATGTGATGGTCAAGGCTTATGGTTTGGCAGGAAAATATGATAGAGTCATTTCTCTACTTGAGAACATGAAGGGCTCTGGCATCTCACCAGATGAGTGCACTTACAATTCCTTAATTCAGATGTTTTCTGCCGGTGGATTTCCACACAGAGCTAAGAAGCTCTTGCATAAAATGAAGGACACAGGATTTAAACCGGTGTGTGAGACATACTCTGCTGTTATGAGAGCTTATTCTCGCAATTCCTTGGCATCTGAAGCTATAGATCTGTACAGTGAAATGAAGGCCTCAGGTGTCGAACCAAATGTGGTTGTTTATGGTTTGCTGATTAATATGTTTGCGGAGACAGGACAAGTGGAGAAGGCACTGGATTATAGCAACTTGATGGAAGAATCTGGAATCACTCCAAACCATATTGTCTTAACTTCGGTTATCAAGGCCTACAACAAGATCAATTGCTGGAAGGAAGCGCAGGATTTGTATACAAGGATGAGGAACATGGATGGTGGCCCTGATATCATTGCCTCGAATACCATGCTAAACCTGTATGCAAAACTTGGGATGGTCATTGAGGCTAAGGCAATCTTTGACAATTTGAGGAGAAATAATCAGGAAGATGATGTTTCATACATTATCATGATGTTTCTCTACAAGAACATGGGCTTGCTTAACGAGTCCATTAAGATTGCTCATGAATTAGATAATTCAGGCTTACTATCTGACTGTGCTGCATATAATGCTGTTATGGCATGTTATGTGGCCAAGGGCAACTTGAGAGAATGTGCAGAGCTGGTGCAAAAAATGGTGGAAGATAACATCTTTCCAGATGCGTCAACCTTTCAGATGATATTTTCTGTGGTGAATAAAATTAATATTTCATCAGAGGAAGTTTTGCAGTTAGAATCAGCATACAGTGATGGCAGGAGTTCTGCCAAGCATGCTATACTTGCATTCTTGTTTTCCATGGCCGGCATGCATGCTGCTGCATTAAATGTCTGTGAGCAACTTTCAAAGCCTGAGTTGACAATTGATCCATGTGCATACAATGTTGCCTTCAAGGTGTATGCTTCCTGTGGAGAGGTGGATAAAGCTTTCAGTTTGTTCATGCGGATGCATGCTTTAGGGCTAAAACCGGACACTGTTACTTGCATCGATTTGTCAACTTGTTATGGGATATCTGGAATGTCAGAAGGCATGAGAAGGATAAGTGGTCTTCTTGCATACAGAAACAGCGAGTTTAGTAAGTCTTTACATAAAGCACTGGTTTCCTATAGAGAAACTGGAAGCAATGATTTTGCTGCTCAGTTAGTCAACAAATGAGATGTTAAGATAGTTCACCTCGTGTGACCTGGTAAGCTCACAAGGTGATGATGACTTAGTTGTGGACTTCCCAGGTCTAACTTTGTTGTGGTAATGTAATTGATTATTGGAGGTGACACATATTTGCTTCAAGATAAAAAAAGAAGGGGATCAGAAATATTAATGAGATTGATGATTGGAGTTAAGGGGCTGGACACGCCCATGGCTGATGGCTCCATGCTAAGTGTGGACAACTGCCACATGGTAACTGCAGTTCTGTGGATGAAGTCATTCTCAAGTTCATCCGTGTGGTGACTGACGTCATAGAGTCTCTTGTGAAGAGAGTGATTGTGGTTGAGTCTGAAACTGCTATCGAGAAAGGAATGTGAGGATTAGGTTGGAAGAGATCAGGAGGAAGACCACACAGGTTGAGTCCATGTCGGTGACAGTCGAGGAGATGGAGAAATTTGCAGTGGGTACAAATGGTATGCTGGATGAAATCTCATAGGGTTGAAGATATGGTGCTGGAGACCACATGACAGAGGCAGCGCACTGCTGAAAATGAGCAGGAGCTTAATCGTGTGAAGAATGACTTTGACTCGCCCAGAACTTATGCCAGCACACTCGTTAATGTCAGAGAAAATCTTCTTCCGTCGGAGAAGCAATTTGAGACAATGGAGAAGATTTTTGACAGGTACTTTCACAAGTCTCATGTTGTTTCTAGTAATTACATCCTGTCTCATGTTGTTTCTAGTATTGTGATAGGTTCATTTTCCTTGCAAAACCCTTATAAGAAAATGGCAGATGAAGGAAGAGTAGAAATAGTTCATTTCAACCTCCCAATTTTGAACAAAGCAGCAGCACTAACCATTCATTCCATAAATTCTGGCATGCATGTTATGATGTGCTTCTATTGTCTTATGATACTTTGACGCATCAGTTTGGTAGACTGGTAATTACCATGATTACCATCTTAACAATATATTCAATCAGCTATGCATCGAACTAGTTTGTAACACGGTCAGCATTAGTATCTTTGAGATGCAAAACAAAAATAGTCTTAGTATATGATGCTAATGTTCTTCTGGGTTTCATCTCCATAAGAGTGGCTGAGTTTTGACGTTGGCTCGCCAAGACTATGACAACCCTCCTCCTTTACCCGGGCTTGGGACCGGCTATGTTGAGACAACATAGGCAGAGTTACCATGAGTTGGTTTCGAGAACTTATGGGTTTCAGCTCTAGCCTATCCCCAACTTGTTTGGGACTAAAGGCTTTGTTGTTGTTGTTGTATATATGATGCTAATGCTGTGTTAGTACTATATATTTAATTTTCTGTTGGCAATTCCAATTTATTTTTTACTAAATGGGCCCTATCTTTTCTATGGACTTTAGGGCACACAACCATATGGTCTGTTATAATTAGCACTTAAATGTCATGCCTAGATTTCTCTCAGTATCACATTTGTTAGCAGTTTCTTCACCCACTTCATTGTCTGTGAGGGATCTGGGTAGAGGTTTGTATGTGCTTTTTTAGAGTTACGTTGGCTATATATATTGCAACCATCGGTTAAAATAGTTAATACTGTTCTATCACTTGACATCTGAGGGAGGCTGTTGCCATATAAAATGTTTCAAGTAGATTCAAATTCAATGCACCGCTCTCCTAAATGCAGCAGTTTTATGCTTCGATCGTGTCCCAACTGTTTTTTGATATTTGTAGTGGTCAACAAGATGCAGATAGACTTGGGTAAGTCTAGAAGTCTGATTTTCTGCTGGTCTGCCTTTGCACAGAAAGAAGCGGAGGTCCAGAAGGACTAACCAGTTCGAGACTGAGAAAGCACAGAAAGAAGTCGAGGTCCAGAAGGCGATGGAGGAAAACTTGAGGCTACGTGCTATGGTCGACAAGAAGGACGTCCACTCGTTCAGCTCCAGGTGATGAGCGAGCAGTGCATGTTCATGGATTTGAACCATCCAAACTGGTGGAAGACAGACACACCAGATAAGAAACCTGCACTTGTCCAACTGATGTCACTTACAGTTATATTGCCGCCGCAGCGGAAAATACATATATCCCTGGATGTCCCGAATAACAGATGGTGATGCAATGTTTTGGGGTCTGTGATTCGTGTCGCGAAACTAAATCGTGAAGTGTTGTTATCTTAGACGTGGTATGTCGTAATCGCAACCCTGACAAGGCAGTTGTTGTATCTTGAGCGAGTGCAAAGGCTGGACGCATTTGTCCGGTTGGTTTCTTAAGTCCATAAGAGACGACGCAGCACTTTGGGGATGCTTTGTTTGAACTTTGCTGTTCCGTTATCTGTGATAGTGAAACCCGTAGAAATGTATTCCCTCCGTCCCATAATATAAGACGTAAGTCTATTATGGGACGGAGGGAGTATGATCGTAGCTCCATTCATCCTTCCGACCTGAACGGTATAATTCAGCTGCTGTTTTTACTGTTGGTGCTGTTAAAAATAACCGAAATGTTTTGCATATATAGATAGATTGGTGCATGTTCGCTTCAACTCTCTTGAGCTCGTCTTTCCGTAGCTGTGCCTCCACGCAATGTTTCACCACTTGGGTTGGAGTTAAGGTTGAATCCAGCATTCCTTTGTGCTTTAAGATTGGTGTGGCCCTCGAGGTGTGATGCACAGATGACATCCATATATGACAAAACATTTGAGCTGTTTTCACACTTTCTGTTATAAATTTTATTAGCTTAATGTTGATAATGTAGAAATTGTTTGCTACTCCCTCCGTTCCAAAATAGATGACTCAATTTTGTATTAAAGTTAGTTTAGTACAAAATTGAGTCATCTATTTTGGAACGGAGGGAGTATACATCATTAACAATAACGAATGTTTTTGTACTCATCTGTTTCATCTATTTAATAGCATTTATGCTACTAAATTAGTGCCATTAAATTCATCATTAAATATATTTCACATCATATACAATTATTATAATAATTGAATTTTGTAGTATTTTTATAAATTTAGCCAAACATAATAGCATTTGGGTTAGAACAAAGTTAATATACAGAGCAATAAAAAGGAAGGGAGTATTTGCATAGGAAAAAATGTGTACGATGGACCTAGCGGGCCCCACCTGCCAGAGGGTCCACAGCGCGGATCACGACCCCCCTGACACCGAATTGAATGTGCCAAACCAAAGCAACAAACCCGAGGAAAAAAGAAATGGAAAATCCAACGCGGCAAGGTATGACGCCACCGGCTGCCATGTCACTACAGGCCGTGGACCTCGTGGCGTGGGCAGCAACTCCCTCTCTCTGCTCCTCCTACTAGTAGATACACCACGTCCACCCCCCCGGAAAAACCCACGCGACCGAGACCAGCAGCAGCACCACCTCCTCCCTCCATCCTGATCCGATCTGACTGAGCCGGCCATGGCGGTTAGGGTTTGGCTCTCCGCCATCCTCCTCGCCTTCCTCCTCGCCGCCTCCCCCTTCGCCCAAGGTAACCGCGCGTCCCCGTTCGTTCCCCTCCCGGTCTCCGCCGCCCAGATCCGCTCCTCTGTCTGGTACTCTCGGGAATTCCGCGGCGGGGCGGCGCTAGATCCGCCGGCTGCGCGCCGATCTGGAGCTAACGTTGGAGCCGATCGGGCTCTGATGGGGTTGGGGATGCGCCGGAGCTGGCTGGTATTTGGAGCGGGCGGGCGGGCTAGATCGGTCCGCTCGCCGGGGTGTAGCGCGCGGCGTAGGTGCGGTGCGGCGGAGTGAGCTCTTGGGTGCGGCCGGCTGAGACTCGAGACCAGTTTGGTTGGTGCGGGGTTTGGGGCGAAATTTGAACGAGGACGCTATTTTGAGCGCGCATGTGTGCTATGCTCTATCTGTGGTTGCATGCTGCGGCAGTGAATCTTCGTGGGAATTTAGTAGCATTTTCTGAATGTTCCGTGTTCTCTATACTGTATGGTTAGCAATTCAGCGGTAGATTGATATGATGGTTTCTCGGTTCTAATTTTTACCATAGTGAAATGTCGTAGCTATGTTGGCGGCCGTTGTTGACGGACAAATTAATTGGTCCCAGCAAGCAGTTTGAATTTGCAATTTATTTTACTCTTTTTTGAATAGGAGATCGAACTTAGTAGCTTGAGTGCTCTCACGTGGTGTTCTGTTTTTACCAAGCATGGATGCTCCCAAGTCATTTTCCTTTCATGTTTCATCTAGACTGATTGATATGTTAATTCTATTCCTACAGTTGCTAGAGCTCAGTCTGAGGAAGATGCTGCTATGCAAGAAGTTGTTGATGGGGCTGATCTAGGATATGTGGGTGATGATACTCCGGTTTCCAGTGAAGAGCCTTTAAGCCCTGCTCCTGGTGTGGAGACTGTTTGCGTCTTCCCCAAAAACGCTGGGAAAAGTAAGTTCTATTGTGCAATTTTGTGAAGCCTCTTCTTTCATGATCAGTCATAAGAATTATATCACCATCTCTAAGCAACTGGAATTATGTGTCTTGATATTAAATATGATATGACCATGTATGTTTGCCACTCATTTTACTTTCAGAAGATCATAAACTTGTTACTTTTATTGAGCTGAAAAGATTCCATGAATATAAGTAGAGTTTGGTATGTATTTACTATTTACATACTAAAATATGAATTACTTCTAGAGCAACCATTTATGTTGAAAATTTGTATCCCATCTTTCTTGAGTTCAGTAATCAATAATATGTCCCATCTTTTTATTTGGTTGCAGTTGTACCAGCAGGTGAAGAAACTGAGCTTTTGGTTGGCCTGCAAAATGAGGGTAACTAATGCTGTTTTCTCCAACTTACGGTTATTTTCTCTAGCACCTACATTCACTACTAGGCTTGGATTGTGGTGTGCTTGGGACTACTCAGTGGAAGTTCTCTTTCTTTTATGCACATGTGTGCTGCCAGTTGTTTTTTGCTTTATGTCAACTTACTGCAAATTCATCTACATTTGGTTGGTATGCAATGTATGAGATTGTTTGAGTAGTTCAGTACTTCAGTTCTCTGTCATTCTTGCTTGTATGTTTCTACAAAGCCACTCTTACGTAAACTGCATATTTTTGATAGAAACACAATTTTCTGCACTGAATATTTCATTTCCATGCTAGTTCCTGTTGACCGGGCTCACACTTGTATATTGTGTTTACAGGTGAATCAACTTTGAATGTTGTTGCTGTCCATTCAACCCTGCATCTTCCTTATGATCACAAAATGTATGGACAAAACCTTACAGTTCAGGTGAGGAAACATATGATTTTGTTGCTTGCTGAGTTATGTTCTATGCTAGCTGAAGTAACTGAAACTCTCATTTGTCAATTATGGACCATCTTAACTGTCCTACTCAGTCATCATTTACTTAATTCTGATTGCTCGAGAACTTGTTTTTACCTTCAGAAGTCTGAGAAATAATTATAGCCCTGGATTGGATGGGTGTGACCCCTAGTGGAGTAGGTGTAGGGTGTGTGAAGTGGAAGGAGCTACTGGTCAACATGTGGGCAAGGTGCAGGGTAGCAAGGGTTCTAGAAATGTTTGAATCCTACTATGATTTGGCAATCTCATTTCTGAAACTATTAACATGGCATTAGTTGAGTGAGTGGACATAAAGTGATCGCCATGTGTTTATACTTTACTGAGCCAAGCATGTTTTTAAACAGTCAGACCAATTCTACAATGTTGAAGATTTCATGTCTTCTTTCTTGCAGAGTTTCTACAACGCGTCAGTTCCTGTCTCTGTGCAAGCAACCTTTCCCTATACATTTGCCGTGAGCAAATTCTTGCAGGTTTCAATTCTCAAGCTTACTATTTTCTTTACCTTTGGAACAACTAAAGACTGAAGATGCCTCTCATAAAAAGAGAAGATGCTCATTTCTTACTTCTGGAAGGTCTGATGCTTGTCCCCTTGCAGCCTGGAGCATATGATCTTGTTGGTTACATTGTGTACGAGATTGATCAGCACCCTTACCAGAACGTATTCTACAATGGCACCATTGAGGTTGTTGAGGTCGGAGGGTTACTGAGTGTTGAATCTGTGTTCCTTATTACCCTTGGAATTGCACTTCTTGGTCTCCTAGGATTGTGGGCTTATGGTCAAGTGCAACAGCTCTCGAAGGTAATCCTCTATTTGACAGTGATATGCTATGCTGAACTCTTGAGATTGTTCATTTGCATTCCCCCACTATGTTTCTGTAGTGCCATTAGTTTTTTTTTTCATTTTCTTCTGGAAATATGAGATATCCATTGTGTAATCATCTGAACAGCTAATCCAGGCTACTTCCTGGTGACTGTTTAGGAGTCCCTAAGACCCTGTAGCTGATATAGCAGGATCGCATGCTTTGAGATGCATAATTGTTATTTAGCACTCATCTCAGTGTTGTGTATTTATTCTATACTTGTTTATGTGATGTAGAAAACAAAGAAAGGCCCCAAGGTGGAACTCGGAACTGGAACAACTGACGCCAACATGGACGAGTGGCTGGAGGTATCATTCGACCTCCACCAATATATCTTTATTCAGCTGAGTCTGGTGCCGAAGCTTATTGATATGACACCATTCTGTTCTGCCTTGCAGGGTACCGCGTTTGCAAAGGACAAGGCCAAGAAAAACAAATAGATTCGAGGTTGATGGGCCTAGCTAGACATTTCAGGATCTAGAATGAGACAAATCGAGGGTAGCCCTTCACAAGTAACCTGGATAGATGAGAGAGCAGAGGTGTTTGAACTAGTCTCGTGGCTGCACATCTTGTTGACACCATTTTCGACCTTGCTGTGTACTTTACAGATAGTTTTCCTTGAAACACAATTTTGTTGAAGGTATATGTTATCTATGGGATTTCTGATCTTTGATCCTAGAGCTGCGTGGTTTGGCATACACTTATGGCATTATCCTAAGTATGTTTGGAGGTCAGCATACTTGTTTTTTCTTTGTTCATCTTCTCATTCTTATAGAACGGTATTGGCCAGCCGGTGTAGATATCTTCATACTCGAACTTTAAAGCCTGTCCTTGTTTAATGAATTTTTAAACCCTCGGCAAGTCTTTAGCAAACTAGTACTATACAGCGTTTATTTTGAACTTTGATTCAATGCAATCTCTTCAATGCCTGGCCACGGCTCTCAGAGTACAGGCAAGACCTCTCACAGAGGGAGTATCCCAAGTTCCCAACTTACCTTGCAGAGGTCAAAAAAGGAAACAAGGGGAGTTGTATCTCCCTCGATGATTCTGCAAGCCGTGGCAGGAGCCAATCGGAAACTTCCGTTCCTGCCTCGCCGCCTGTACCATCTTGCTGCAGCTCGGTAACCCTCTATTGGAGATGAACCCTTTATCGGAGATGATTTATATGGAAACTGCTGGAGATGCTCTTAGGTGGAAACATGGTTGTTCGTCTGACGGAGTATTTTCCAAAATAAGAAAACCACATAGAAAACTCTGAATCCAAGGAACAGAGAAGCATGAAGTATGAATGCTAGCTAGCTTGACATCGCCTGCTAGCATCGTTAGAATAGGATCCAGTGTTGGGAACAAATTGACGGTTGCTTGCTTCTATAAGCTATTCAGATGTTTGTTACCGCTTGCAAACTAAATCCGAAAGATATCCGTGGAAAAAGTTGATATGAAATTGAAGCAGAATCATACCAAGCTATCCAGTTGGTGCACTAGCAGGAAACCCGCTGGAGATGCTCGAATTTGAAACATCCCCTACGGGGCAAAAACCTGCTAGCAGTGGATAACACTTCAAGATAACTACTTATTACAAACAAAGCATGACACAAATCACACCAAAGGAGGTAACCAGCACTACGCTTCCATGAGCAGCAATGGACCGCCATCACCTGGCTTCGCATGACCATCGGCACGACCCTTTGAACTTCAAAGTTCGAAGGTTCAAACGTACTGCACCAGTTTGTGATGCCAAATCCCAAATTGCACGCCTCAGTAATAGTTGTAGCTTGGAATGAATCGCCGGCGCTATGGAAAGGGACATTACCACTGAGTAAAAAAAAAAGACAAGATGTTTGAAGGATCAGTAGTCAATCGGGTGAGCTGGTATAGCTAAATGGTAGTACTACAGAAATACTAGCAGCATCGTTCAATCCACGACATATTTGTGATAATTGTGTCACATTTCAAAGCAAGTAGGTAATTAGTTAGAGAATTAGTTAGTGAGGACATACTCCTTCTATAGAAAAATATAAGACATTTTAAATCACTATTTTAATGATCTAAGACGTTTTATATTTATTTACAGAAGGAGTAGCAGGTAGCTGTACGTGCTTCAAGAATTAGATCAGCAGTAGTACTAGATCGAGTTATTTACTCCCTCCAGTCCTTTTTAGTTTGCATATTAGATTTGTCTGAAGTCAAGCCTCGTAAAGTTTAACCAACTTTATAGAAAAAAATACCAACATTCACAATGTGAAATCAATACTAATAGATGCGTCATGACTTAAAGTTTCATGTTGTATAACTTTATCATGATAGATGTTGACATTTTTTTTATATAAATATAATCAAACTTTGTAAAGTTTGACTTCAGACAATTTTTATATACAGAGTAAAAAGGACCGGAGGCAGTACCTTATTCAAGTTGAGTGTGGGGTTGTTGGGATTCATCTGGACCGCTTTACGGAATGCAGCCTCCCTGGCCTCCATCTCCTCCGGCTGAGCCTCGTAACATTCCAGATCGATAATTACCTGCTGAAGCGAACAGAGGTTCTCCAAGCCCAAGTCAAAATAGCCAGACTGATGCATGGTATCCCGCGCTCCGATATGCAGCTCCAGGATCCGGAGCTTCGGCATGGCTCCAGATGCAAAAACCACCTCCGCATTGTGAGCATATCTCAACTCTGTTAGACACCTGAATGGGTAGCTAACAGCATCGATGACGGGCCATCCTTGTCTCTGCCGACGTGTGGCTCCGAACACACTCATGTCGAGATGACGGAGGGATGGTATGCAACCTAGGACATGAAGGTCTTCCTCCCCCAGTGTGTACAAGGAGATCACAAGGTGCGACAGAGAGGAGAGCGAGGACATCCATCTTGGCACTGAAGGATGCGCTGAAGCTGTTGAGGCCCCGACAACAATAAAGTTCCACATCCAGACTCCGGGCAATATCGCAACCACTCACTTTCAAGGTTTGGAGGTTGATGAGCTTGGACAGACACTGGCGGAAGGGCTCCTCAAAACTCTTGTCCCATTCAATGACTTTCATATCAAGGCACCTCAACTCGGCCAGCCCGGACAGATCAAGCAGGACAGATGGGGACATGACAATCACCGACTTCAACTCTTGTAGAGGTTTCAGATTCTCGGATCCATATGGTACTCTTATCCAAGTATTAACACGCAGATAGACCAGCTGGCACAATTGTTCAAAAGTTGATGGCAGCTCCTCTATTTTAGTATCACCTATGTCGAGTACCTGCAAAAGCCGGAGATTTGCAATCTCTCTCGGGATCTCTGTGATGTAGGTTCCAAATAGCCACAAGTACCTTAGGTGAAACATATTGCATATAAGCATAAAGTGCCGATCATCCACCTGCTTACAGTTGGTTAAATCCAGTGCACTTAAGAGTGGAAAGCTTGAAAGTGTTGGCAACAGAGAAAATGATTTCCTGAACACCGTAAGTGACCTGACATGGGACATATTCATTGTAGAGAGCACCTTGGCATCCTCTTGCTTGCTGGTATGGAGGGATAGTCGACGGATCTTTCCTGGTACAGACTCATACTGTTGACCACCTAATGTTGTCATAAAATTTTCTTCACGCGACAAACAAGTGATGAGATCAAGAACCATGTCATGTAAACGGCAATAACTTGCCTTCTTTTTTGAGCCAGCCGAAAAAGCAGAATGCAAATCCCATTTACTACGTACTGGCTGGATTAAGCTTTGGTTAATAAGCTCGTCGAAGTATTCCTCTCCTACTTCGTACAAGCTCTTTCCTTGTTCTGGCTGAATAAAACCTTCATCCACCCACTTCCAAATTAAATACTTTCTCTTAAATTTGCAATCCTCTGGATACAAACTTAAAAATAACAAGCAAATCTTGAGATGAGGAGGCAGATAATAGTAACTAACATATAATATCCTTCTCATGTCATTCACATCTGGATTATTTTCCAGCCCGGTGCCCATAGATTGGTAAACCTTGGACCAATGTGCGCTGTCATTTCTTTCCGCCAACAAGCTAGATATTGTAATGATAGCTAATGGTACTCCACCACATTTCATTAAAATTTTCTCTGATACTTCGACCAACTGTTTATGAGAGCATTTTTCTCCTTTTCCAAATATTCTTTGGTGGAATAATATTTTTGAGTCAGCGGTAGAAAGAGGTTTCATTTCATAAACATCACCATCTTCTTTGGCAACACCTAGAATGCGAGTTGCTGTGATTACTCTACTTCCACATTCATTCTCAATCAAAGCACATCTAATATTTTTCCAGACAGATTTATCCCATATGTCGTCAATAACAATGATGTACCTATGGGGAAATACCAGATGATCATATATATTAGTAGATGCATTTTTATATGTTCTAATTATTTGAGTACCATTAAGAAATTTCAATCAAACATATAATTGACAAGGGAACAAACAAGTGTATAATAAGTACTTGGTGATGGTACCACCTATACGAATGAAAAAAGTTGGTTTGGTGGCCTTCATCGGGGAAGAGAAAAATATCAATGTTATGTGGTCTCAGAGTATAAGGTATTAAGTTTGGGTGTGCAGCGTATAGGTGTTGGGCTGACAAGGCACGCAATAAGAGCCTTGCTCCAACTGACTAGTTTAAACCCTTAGTTTCGTTCCCAAAGTGCTATAGATAACGCGTTCTAAATTATAATTTATTCTTTTACATTCTAGTAGTTCATTATTCTACATTTACCCTACCAAACCACTTTTTCCATCTTGATGAATCTAAGACTCACCTGCTAGAATTTCACAAAACATCACAACATATTGGGAACAAATAAAAATGAATGATGTTATATACGTTGGGAAACAAAAAACACATGTCTTCAATTTTTAGCATAGACTTGAGTGACACTCGTCCCTAATATTTAAAAATCACGACAATATTATAACTTATGCATACAAGATTTCTGTTTGAAGGATTTCACATTTTTTTGGGAATATTAATTTCCTAAAATATTTATTAAGCACAAACTAGAAATTCAATCTGTTATGGTATTTCCATATTATAATTCTACAAGGTTTTAGTGTAGAAGGGTCACTTGATTTGGAGTTAAAGGTACGATATTCTAAATGTTTAAGAGGATCAAAGGGGTAGGAAAAGGATGAAGTCAAAAGAAATTAGCTTAGCAATACTCATAGAACAATATAATACAATTGGATAATCAATACTAATGGTTTAGCAAAAAAGAAGTATGTATTTATATAATTACATAGTCATAGTTTTTGTCACAGGTAACCAATGTATATGCTATTAGCACATACAAAGTTTCAAAACAGTAGTTATTAGGCTCACATCGGTTAGCACCTCTCTACAAATAATATTGCGTCTGTATACAAGTCAATGATAGGAACCATATGTAGAATCACGACTACATATATGACATTAGTCTTAATTACCTATACTACCTACTGTATTTGATTTCTTTAAATC